CCAACCCGTTCTCGCACTTTCGTATAGTCAATATTGACTTATTAAATACGTGCATATGTGTCATATTAATTTATTGTGAATATTTTAGTTTACCTTGAAAAGCTTCATAGAAAACACCGACCTTACCTAACCTTCTTAGTATGTTAAGATAAGCATCTTATTGCTTCGTAATTACAATTATTACTTGACCTATTATAGGTATAGGTTAAGTAATAATTGTAATTACGAAGCAATAAGATGCTTATCTTAACATACTAAGAAGGCTAGGTAAGGTCGGTGTTTTCTATGAAGCTTTTCAAGGTAAACTAGTATGTTTAGTATGTCACATATGCACGTATTTAATAAGTCAATATTGACTGTAAGAAAGTGCGAGAACGGGTTGCTGCTATTCTAGGCCTAGGAATATTTACGTTTGTTTTGTGCTTAATTATAATCTAATTGCTAAGTACGTCAACATTTGTACTATGGTGCACATCTTGAGATATCTTGAGGTTATCTTGAGATGATTTCGGGGCTTTAGTGTCCCCGCGGCCCGGTCCTCGACCAGGCCTCCACCCCCAGGAAGCAGCCCGTGACAGCTGACTAACACCCAGGTACCTATTTTACTGCTAGGTAACAGGGGCATGGGGTGAAAGAAACTCTGCCCATTGTTTCTCGCTGGCGCCTGGGATCGAACCCAGGACCACAGGATCACAAGTCCAGCGTGCTGTCCGCTCGGCCGACCGCTCCCCCCCACCACTCCACCACCACCACACCACCACCAGCCAACACACACAAATAGTTACATAAACTAGTAACTAACCAGGTTGACGGGTTTGGTGGACCAGGAGGACTGGGTGGTGGACCACGAGAGGACGGGTTGGTGGACCAGAGGACGGTTGGTGTGGACCAGGAGGACGGTGTTGTGTTGGACCAGGAGGACGGGTGGGGGTACCAGAGGGACGGGTTTGGTGGACCAGGAGGACGGTGGGGTGGACCAGGAGGACGGGTTGGTGGACCAGGAGAACGGGTTGGTGGACCAGGAGGACGGGTGGGTGGACCAGGAGGACGGGTTGGTGGCACCAGGAGGACGTGTTTGGTGTACCAGGAGGACGGGTTGGTGTACCAGGAGGACGGGGTGGTGGACCAGGAGGACGGTTTGGTGGACCAGGAGGACGGGGTGGTGTACCATGAGGACGGGTTGGTGGACCAGGAGGACGGATGTGGTGGACCAGGAGGACGGTGTTGGTGACCAGGAGAACGGGTTGGTGGACCAGGAGGACGGGTTTGGTGGACCAGGAGGACGACGGGTTGGTGGACCAGGAGGACGGGTTGGTGTGGGTAGGAGGTGGGGTTGGTGACCAGGAGAGGACGGGTTGGTGGACCAGGAGGACGGGTTGGTGGACCAGAGGACGGGTTGGTGGACCAGGGAGGACGGGTTGGTGGACCAGGAGGACGGGGTTGGTGGTGACCAGGAGGACGGGTTGGTGTACCAGGAGGACGGGTTGGTGTACCAGGAGGACGGGTGGTGGACCAGGAGACGGGTTGG